CCCCAAAAAAGCCCCCCCCCCCCCCCCCCCCCCGGGGGGGGGGGGGGGGGGCAACCCCCAGCCCCCGCACTGAGGGGCCAAACCCCAGCCCTGTCACCTGGGGCCCAACCCCGGCGCCCCACCTGCACCAAGAAGAACTTGATGATGCCCCAAACATAGGGCGACGCAAAGTAGTAAAACATCAGCTCGTGGAAAAGGCCGCTCGCGGCAAACGTGCACAGCGTCGCCAGCGACCGCACCGCCTTCGACCGCCTCGGGCCCGGCGCCGCCGCCGCGGACGCCGCCGCAGGCGCCGCGGCGGCGAGCCGCACGACGGCGACGGCGTCCGCGGGGCCTGAGCCGTCGTCGGAGGGGGGGCGGCTCGGGGGCGGCAGGGGGCGCACGAGGCGGCCCTCCACGATCGGGTCGTAGAAGAGCGGACGCAGGGTCTGGCTGACGGTGTTGTTCTGTCGGTGGGCGCGGGGCGGTCGGCGGTCGGTGGTTGGCGTGTGGCGCGGCCGCGCGCCGGGTCGAGCGCATGCCTTAGCAAAAAAGGTGGTGCGGGGCCTGCGAGCATGGGGCCGAAGCCGGGCACAGGCGGCAGGGCGGCTGCTGCAACCATTGCACCGGGATCACACGAGCCAGCGGAGCTGGCGTGCCCCGCCGCAAGCGCTCACCCAGCGGCGGCCCCAGAAGTCGGCCAGGGAGGTCGCCTGTCAGTGAGTGAGGGCGGGGTCGATTGGGAAAAGACCAGAAGGCACCGGCAGTGGGGCAGGCGGCGCCGTCTCGGCGCCGGTTGCGGCTGCGACAACAGCCTGAAATGCAGGTGCAAGAGCTCCAGGTAAAAACAGCAAGGACTAACAGCTCCCGTTGCAGCGTGTCAGCGCCAACGCGGCCGCCCAGGCCCCGGCCCCCATCGCTGGCCGCGGCGCAAGCCGCAGACCCGTGCTGCGCGGCCCCATCGCCCGCTGGGCGGCAGCCCACCAGCCACGGCTTGTCAAAGGGCGGCACGACCTCCATTGCCACCAGGCCCAGCAGAACCACAGCGCCGCCCATGACGCAGGTGAGGAGGGCGTACAGGCCAAAAGCTGTAGTTCGGGCGCGGTGACGGGCGGTGCGGTGACGAGTGGTGTCGCCGGGGGTGGGGGTGGGGTGGAGAGGGGGGTGGTGAGGTATGGGTGGGTGGTGGGAATGGCCCGGCGGTGCTGGTAGCGTTCAGGTGTTTGAGCCAGTAGCGGGGCGGGGGTCTGCACCAACACAAGTGCAGGGGCTAGGGAAGGCTACGTGCGCTGAGATGTATGCACTCGCGCGCACGCGCCGCCGGCGGGTCTTGAGAGCGAGGCTGGGCTGCGGCCGGGCCTCAGCACCAGGCAGTGTGCGTGAAGCGCTCACCAGTCACTAAGGGATCAGGCGCCAAGGTGGGGGGCCAGGAGCGCCGGCGGGAGAGCGGCGAGAGCAAGGGGCAGGGACGTCAGCGGCTGGTCATGGGAGAAGGCATCAACACCATGGCTGCGTCGCACGGACAGCCAGAGCGTGCTTGGTTGCAGAGGCCACTCGACCCCCCGCCCGGTCCCCTCGCCCCCGGCCCCACGCATCGCCACTGTGACTCCCGTGGGGCGCTCACCCCACTCCCGCAGCAGCAGCGGCAGCGGCTGCGTCAGCAGCCAAGCCATGGAGACAAGCAGCCCTGCGCGGGACAGGACGCACGGCGGCGTGTTCAGGTTCCCCCATTAGTTATGCCGACTGCAACCCCACAACCGCACATGACACGCCCGTCTGCGCGGGTGCTCATGCCTTGGAATCATGGCCTGGCCAAGCCCTGCCGGCGCGCCCAGCGCATGCCCGCCGCCCCGCCTCCGCCGCCCGCCGCCGCCCGCCGCCGCCGTACGCGCCGTCGCGCAGCAGTGGGGCAATGAGGCCTACTGCGCCGCCCCGCGCACGAGCTTCTGGCCGGCGCATCACACGGATCTGAAGCGACTGCGAGAGCTTGATGCAGACATAGAGACATCACACACACGCGACACTTGACACACTCGCACTTCCCCACAACACACACACGCACCCGCACACCACACGCACACACCAGTCAGCGCAATGGCGCGTCGACGACAGCAAGCACAGCGCTCCCCGCGCGTCCGCCCAGCTGTCCGCCCACCGATCTGGAACACAAACAGCAGCGCCACTTTTGGGGGCGGCCCCGCGCTGTCGCTGAGCCGCCCCGCCTTGCCGACCGCCAGCCGCTCCCGGGGGATGATGGGCAGCGCGTACACCAGCGCAAAATTCAGGAAAGGGAGGCCCTCGGAGGCCAGCGGCCCGCGGTTGAGGCACAGGGAGACGGCCTGAGGGGGAGGGGCGGCGTGTGTGGGGCGAGAGGAGGGGAGTGCGGCGCCGCGCCAGGCCGGGCGCCACACTCGTGATGGGGTCTCGCGACCGCAGGTACGCAAAGCGCATGAGCGTGAGCCACGGGGCGGCGCTTGCAGGACTCTGTCTGTCGTTGATAGGATGCGGACGCCCGCGGCCTGTCGAGCGGCCCCCTGCGAATAGCGCCGCTCGAATCATTTTTGTGTCGTGCTCGCCTTGCAGCTTGAGAGCCAGGTGAGGCAGGCGGTCGCGACGGCCCGCGACAAGACCTCTGACGACGGGTCGAACAGCAGCGGCAGCACCGCGTGCAGCGGGATGAGCGGCAGCGCCGCGGCGAGCCGCCGGGCGCCGGGCGCCAGGCGGCGCAGCAGCAGCAGGTGCGCGGAGGCGGCGGCCATCGCCGCGGCCGCGACCTGCACGCGAGCCAGCCAGGTCAGGCGTCCCCACAGCGGCGCGAATGCAGCGTCGCCGCGGCCGGGCCACGCCGATACAGCGGCGTGAAATGTGCTGTGCAGGGCTTCCATATTCTACGGGCCGGAAGGCGTGGGCATTGGCAACATGCGCCGTCGGGATGCGCCGTGGAGTGCGAAGCAGTGGGACCCGGCGCGGAGGTAGCCGTGCAGATGCGGTCATGCCTGTAATGGGTCCAGCGAAACTCGGTAACTCAATCACCTGGGGACCGCAGGAGAGCGAGACCCGCCGTGTACAGCCGTGGGCACAAGTGTGAGCGATGTCGGGTCACGGTTCGGTTGAACTTGCTGTGCCTGAACGCCGGTACGTAAATCGACGGTGCGCTGATAGCGCAACCTTCTGTGCATTCGTTGGTACGTGCCTGGTATGACTCAGACACCAACGAACGGGTCGCTGATCCGTAGCTGTACACCACCGCTGCGTTGGTGCAGGCTGTCCTCACTTCACGGAGGATATGCGGATTATTGTCGAATCTCTGCTAACTCAAGGTCAGATTGCACTCAGGCGGCCGCAGAGCGCTCAGCGCTCTGGTGGACAGCAAGTGCCAGCCCACAGGGTACCCCGTCTGCATGAAAGATATGCTGCACATGGCAGGTCAGGGGGAGGCACCTTTGGTCCAGGTGTGCAGCTGGTTTGGCTGGCCACAACAGCGCCACCTGCTGTGTCCATGTGGGGAGGCGGCGCACACCTTGTCGCCTGCCGTGGCCGTCGCATGGCCAGGGCAGGCAGTGGGCACACGGTCCGCTTCGGGCTGGCACCCGCAGAACTTTCAGCCGTGCAGACCTATCATCATCATCATCGACCTTCGCTGCGCCTGTCCTCATCCTCGGGCACAGCGCCCCCAACAGCAGCGCAGTGTCAGTGCGAGGATGTGTGCGACAGGTTGATTGTGCGTGCGCACGCATATGCGTTTGTTTCAAAGCACGAGCGCACTTGTGTGTGTGTGAGTGTGTGTGCGCGTGTGTGCGCGTCTGCACATGTGAAGAGTTACCACCACTACGGCACGGGACAGGTGCCTCGATCAAGGCACGCACCCACACACATGACCGACTGTCGCGGTCCCTGGGCCGCGCCACACTTCCACTACTCAGTAAGTTACGTCGCTCTTCAAATAGCGCATCTGCACCCTGACCATTCAAATCATGTCGTCGCTGTTGCACAAGACCCCTGATCACTGCAGACTTGTAGTAAGGCCCATCCAGATACTGGCGCCCAGTAACGTCATTCGTTCCTGGCAGGCTCTTCGGATATGTAAACGGCCATTGACCAGTTGCATAGGCACGCAATGTCATGACTTGCTGTCTGGCCCGCCAGATGGCCAATGCACCACCTTGAGGAGCTTGGCCCAACAGTTGCTGGCAGCGCCCTACAGCTGCCCCCCTCGCCCGCGCAGCAGAGGCTGCTTTGTCCTCTCGCACAACAGCAGGTGAGCTTGCCGGGTTACAAATTGAATAATAACCCTTGACGGCTCGGCATTGTGGACAGGCGGGGGCTGAAGTCCCCTTGCAATCAGGTGAGGAGCCTACATGGCGGAGGGGTTGCCCTCCAGGGCAGGTGACGGTGGGGGGGGCCGAGGCAAATGCGTTCCGAACACGAACGAGGCAACACCATCGGCAGCGTGTATCCAATACTGTGAAAACAGTCGATCAGGCGGTGTTTTTTCAAGTGACCTGTGCAACGTAGTGTCGGCCGCGCTTTCGAGCTCCACGATCTCATCGTCTCACTCGTTACTTGGCTAATGAGGTATATCAAATCCACGTGAAGAGCCCAGTGCGACCTCACGATCGTGCAGGTGGCGGACTGCGCGCCCAGCGAGGCGGCACACGCCGCATCGCCGCTGGCCACCTGCGCGGTCGCAAGGGCACCGCACGTGGCCGGCCCCTCCCATCACGTAGGGGTGCAGGCATGCAGCGCGTGCAGGAGGCGCTCTTCGCGCTCATGGATGGCGTCCTGCCGCCTGACCTGGATGGCGGCGGCTCGCGTTGCCCATTCACCCGTGCCCAAGCAACAACAGAGGCAATTGCGCGGCTCCTGCAGTCGCACCTGAGCTTGCTGCACCGCGCCCAGATCGCGGCCTGCGCCTCACTGCTGGCCGCAGCGGCCCTCGTGCTGCTGGGGCGCGCGCGGGTGCCGCCCGGCGGCGCGCGGGCCTTGGCGACGCTGCCGCTGCTGGTGCCGGTCAACTTCCTGCTGCCGCTGCTGTTTGATCCAAACACGGAGATCATATCACGGGCCGTCTCCACCGCATGCTTCCCGTGGATGGCCACATGCAAGGTCCGCCCGCCGTACGCGGCCCGCATGGCGTTGCATGCGGCTCGCATGGCGCTGCATGCGGCCCGCATGGCGCTGCATGGGGCTCGCATGCACCCGCATGGGCTGCGCCTCGCCCCCCATCAAGGCCCCCATGCCCTCTTCCGGCTCACCACGCACCCGCTGCAACTCCGGCACACACGCATGCGGCCACCCCCAGCTCCTGGCTTGGTGCCTGAACCGCGGGCCCCTGGTGGCGGAGGACTGGGGAGTCGGCGCGATGGCGCTGCTGTACGCGCTGCCCATCATACCCCGCGACCGCGCCGCGGCCGGCAAGGCGGGGCGGCTGGGCGACAGCGCAGGCACGCCGCTGCAGGTCGCGGGGCTGTTCGTCTTCTACTGCGGTGCGCAGTGCGCGCGCCGGGTGGCGGCGCCGGCGGCGCCGCTGCGGGGCTGAGCGCTTGCGTGGTGCCCGGCGCTGCGGACAGTGCCACGCCGCGCAAATGCGGTCCGCGAGACCTTTCAGCGGGGTCACGCTTTGCTGGCGCTCCTGCAAGGGGCGGGGTGGGCTCTGGAGGGATGCGCTAGGATGGGCCTGGCCCTGATCCAACACCACCCTCATGCACTCGTCAAACCAGCGCCTCAACGCGCTCCCACCCCTGCCCAACACAACTGCCTGCAGGCTTCACCCTGGCGGTGGTCTGGCTCCTCACACAGCCGCTGCCGCCGCTCCTCCTCCACTACAGTGCGTCCCGCCAGCGGTCCTTCGCCCGCACGCACATCCACGCGCCCCTGCTGCTTCCATTCGCTACGTAACCCCTGCCTTGCCTTGCACCCGCGCACTCTCTTCGCTCCCCTCACCCCCGTTGTGCCCCTCCCACGACCCGTTACCCTGCGAACGCCTGCTGCCGCATCATCTGGACCTCGTCAACTCTTCACAGTCTTTGGTGCGCTTTCAACCCGCCGAAATGCGCTGGTCCTGTGGTGTTGGAGGGCCTCCACCCATCTGACCCTGCGCTTGGTGCCCATGCTCCGCCTCATGGTGCTCAAGGCATCCCCAGGCAGTCCCCACCGCGCCAGCCACACCGCCCATTTGCCCCACGCCAGGCATCCGCATCCATCGCTCCTCCATCATTCATTGACCGCCGCTTCCCAACTCACGCCCCGGTGGTCCCCGGCCCCCTCCCC